CTCCCTTGCGGAGTCTGATTACCTTCCTCACGGAGGCTGGTACGGCACTCAACTAAGTTTCTTCTTATAAGTTCCTCTTGACTTATTAAGGTGTATGCAATATGACATAGCATAGCATACTATAACATGAAATGTATTCAAACACATATAATTCATGTGCACTACTTAAGTGTATGCAGTATGACATAACATAGCATACATAACATTAAATGTACTCAAACACATTTAATTCATGTGTACTGTTCATTTTAAAATCTATTTATACTGTAAGCGAGATTCCTACTTACCTGTTTTAAGGAGTGGAATCCTCTATTCGCCACACTGTCTGTTCTCTTGCTTATTTCTGAGAATAAACACTCACTGAGTGTGAGATTAACTATCACTTGCTATTCTATTTTAACAAGCTTATAAGAAAATCTGATTTCTCTACTTATGGCTTTCTTTCTCTTTCCTACGTTAGAGGATTGAAAACCTTGTTTCAAACTTAAAGATTAGGTTTATTGAATCCTCGTAACCTTATTTTTCCATTAAACAAGGTCCAAACTCAAAATACTTTCTTGAGACTATACTTCGAGTTCCTTAATGAACACTTGTGTTTAACACCAAAACTATTTTGACAGTTTTGTAGTGTTTTTTAAGAAAATAGTTTAAAGCTTCTATCTAGAACTAAAACCAAGTTTAGCCTCAAATTCTAGAACTAAAAATAGGTTTAACTCCAAATTTTCAAACTAAATTTCGGCGGAGTTTCGCCTTATTTTCTGTGTTTCCCGAGCTATCCTTAGCCCGTTTTATCCGTTACTTCATCTTCTAAACATAACTAACAATCTTTTTCATACAATTTAATCAACTTAAGAACCATACTTTAGGGTACCATCAAATTTCTCACATGGATTTTCATATCTAAAAGTTGCTACAAATATAATCTAACAGCCACAAATTCATCCTAACCAATTGAAATTCAATCATCAACTTAGTAAACTTTCTCCATACTCTCTACCACATCCTAACCATTCGGCCAAGGTAGGAAAAATGAGAGAAAAACTGAAATCTCACCTTAGAAGAATGAAGAACAAACTCCGGAATCACCAATCCTCGGTAGTTTGATTGATTCCTACTTAAAACTTGTTTTTCTTCACTTTTGGTAATTTTTTTTTCTTCTCTCTCTTGGATGAACACCCACAGTTCTTGACATAAAAAAGAGAGTGTTTAATTATGTTTTTACACTTAAACATGTTGGAGAAGAAAATGAGGGGTCTAAGTGTAATTTCTTAACTTTTGGGCTCTTTTTTGCAAAAATCCACCAAAATATATCTTCTTGGCTTTTTGTATAAGCTTGGCCGGCCACCTCACTAAGCAAGTGGCATGATCTCAGTCCTTCATCTAAAAGTTACTTTAAATATCAACCATTTATCATTTAATAATTATCTTATTTTGGTTCAGCTTAAATTCTTGTCCAGTGTGCGTTTTATCTGTGTTTTTCAGACAGTTGATCAACTTAGTCAACTTTGACCATTCTTGATAACTTTTTGAAAGTGACATTTTGGTCGACTCTTGGTCAAAAATTTTTGACTCGGTCTGCTTAAATCAGTCGAAACCTCAATTTACGCGATTCGGCATTCTGAACCCTTTTTTCGTCCATTTTTCGTTCTGATTATTTCTAAAACCCTAGAATTGATGTTTTTCAATTCTTTTTCACTTCTTAACCTTATGATTCATGTGTTGGCCCACTTATGGGTTTAACACAGCATTCTGCACATCCTTCCTTATTGCAGTCTGAAAGTCGGTAACAGTATCTTACCTAACTTAAATTTCTAATTGCCTACTTGATGTCATCTTGCTTACATAAGCAAGGTTTAGTGAACACTTGGTAATCACCCATTGATGTTCTATTCTTATAGCTATTCTTATTACTTCATACTGACTTTTGGGAATTTACCTAGTTGACAGAAAATTTCAGTTTCCGACTTTGTCAACTTCTAAACTCATATTGCATCTGAATTTCTTTACTGATACACTACCCTTTAATTTCTTCTTATATGTTTAGAAATTAAGGGTTTTCTCTTTAAATGTCAGAGAGTTTCTCTATATGTTGCTAACATTATACTGCACTAAGAGATTCCTGAGATTAGGATTCTCAAACTGTATATGCACAGAGAATTCTTCCGCCTTAATTGCAGTAAGAATTTATCAACTGAATTTACTTGTTCTTAAAATATGAACTCATCATAAAACTTGCTACAGAATTTAGGAATACTAATATTAATTCCGTAAATCCTTCAATCACAAAATATGACAATATATTATTGAGAAAAGTCCTTAACTTAAATAAATAAATTTATATTATTTAATTTTAAAATTTTCTCGGTCATTACAGCACAGCATTCCTTTAAAAATGGGGACACCAAAATACTTTAAAGGAAAAGCACATTGTCTCATACCAAGCATTGCCAAGATATCAATTGCACGACGAATAGCAGATTTACCTATAAGCACCACAGACTTATCTTTAGTAAAAACTTGCCCAGAACTCAAGTTGTACTCATCAAGAAGATCAAACACTCGACGTAAATTCCTCTTAGATCCATTACAAAAAATCATCAAATTATGAGCAAAAAAGACATGAGAAGGAGCACAAACCCCTCGAGGAGCAGATATGATAATAAAGGGGTACGCCTTCTACGCCTGTCACTGTGCATTAGTTAATTACTAGTGAAAACTGTACGCGAAGACTCTAAGGTGTTTTCATTTACAAAAAAAAATTGAATTTGAATTTATTTAAAAAAAAACATTATAGCAATATGACTATTATTAGCAAATTTTGATATGCTATATTTTGTGAATAATATATGAAAAATTTGACATTTGATTATTATTGATTGAAATGTTAACTTTTTCATGTAATTATTGTAACTTTTATATTTTTTAATTATTTTAAAAATAAAAGTTTACTTTTATAACTTTCAAAGCTCAGGGTCCGTTCACTTCGTTGATTCGAGTTTTTAATTCGAGTTGAGATGTGACTTTATGTGAGAGCTTTTTACTGTAGCAAAAAAGTTAGATGTGATTGTTTTTGAGAGCTTTTTACTGTAGCAAAAATCGAATTCTAAACTCGAATCAGCGAAATGAACGGGGCCTCAATGATTATAGAAAAAAGTAGATTTAACATTTCAAATAACATTATGTATTAAAACAAGTATGAAAGTAGCATATCATATCACAATTTTTGATGCTAAATATACAATTGAAATTAACATTTGCATTAGAGATGATCTTATAAAAAATCTATTACATAAATCGTAAAGGAAAAAAAAAGCGATAAAAGAAATAAAAACAGAAACGAGAAAAAAGATAAAAAAGATAGAAATTTTTTTTTTAAAAAAAAACTTATGAGATGTTTCGCATTGTAATTTACAGGAAAAAGATATTTATATAGGGACATATTTAAAAAAATTAATTTAAAAGAGTAAGTAGAAAAAAATAATATTTGAAATAAGTGTAAGAGAAGTATTTAAAGGGGATATTTTAAAAATATATAAAAATCAGAGAGAGAGAGAGAGAGAAATGTGAAATGGTAACGAAACAGCCCCACGAAAACGATTACGGCCCTCACGAAAATGAATTCTCTCTGCGAAGGAGAGAAAGATTCAACTTAATTAATAGTAGGGTGAGTTTTAAGTTGAGATGGAGGAAAAAGAGAATGGAAAGAAAACGTGAAATAAAGAAAATAAGTTGAATTTTTTATGTTATTTGATATGATGAGTGAAAATAAAATATGTAATAAATTAATTATTATTTTATTAATTATTTTATATCAATTTAGCTTTGAAATAGGGATAAAAAATTATTTGTCATTATATGTGGATTTAAGTTTTCTACAATATTAGAGAGATAAAAATTAGTAGACCTATGATAACTTTTATCCACCCTACAATTTCTTTTAAAAATTAGTTGACCCCAAAATAACTTTTATCCACCCTACAATTTTTTTCCCTCCTCTCTTCCTACTTCTGTAAAAGGAACAAAAATGATTTTTTAAATGGAGAAAGTTAAAAAAAAAAAAAAAACCAGAAAAAAAGTTATCATAGCACAAAATTTTAAAACAAAACATTTTATTGCTAAGAATATTTTAATAGGTCGTTCTATGAAACTTAATTCTAAAGAAAATTTTGTCTCCAACTAATTAATTAGATGATGACCCAAAAAATGACTTCAGGATATTTATAGAAGATGCTTTTTTAAAACTTGAAGATAGCTATTTAACGTTATGTTTTTATAACCGAAGGTACCTTGTGTTAATGAATATAGTTTATTCTTTGAGAAATCATACAGTGAAATCCCCAAAATGCTTTCACTAGTGCAAGCGTTATTTTTGACCGTTGGATTAAATTTTTTAACATTTAAATATGCAAAAATCTAAATTAAAAATTTATAACGCGCTACATAAATACTCATTCTGTAGATCTGAGTGTTGCAAATTTAAACTAATAACCAAAAGCAGCGCTTCCTTACGGAGTTCCACCATAGAAGAAGCCATATTCTTTCCGCTCCATCTAAACCTTTAGAGTATGTTTGGTAAGAAAGAAAAGTAGAAAGAAAGAAGAAGGTGGAGGAATTTTAAGAGAAAAAATAAAAATGTAGGTTGTTTGGTAGGAGAGAAAAGAGAAAATAAGAGAAAATAAAGTGAAAAATAAAACATGTGGACCCCACTATTTTTTTTCTTTCCACAAGTGGGCAGAAAATGTTATGAAAAATGAAGACAACTCATTAAAGTGAACAAAGTTACTAAACTACCATTTTCTCCATCAACATCCAAGCAAAAAATTGAAAGGTATAAAAGTAATTTACGAGTAAAATTTTTTCTTTCCTCCTAATTTAACTTCCAATACCAAACAAGTGAAGGTAAGCTCATTTTCTTTCCATCTTCTCATACCACAAACAACATAAAAGAAAATCAATTTCCTTTCTATCATTACTATTTTCCATCACTTCCATATTTCCTTTCTATCCTATTTTCTTTCCTTCCTACCAAACATAGCATTAACTCCCAAGGAAAAGAACACTATTTCAATTAGGTCAAAAATATCATTACAATCCAAAGAAATTTCCGTTGAATTCAAGGCAATGTAGTATCCTTGTTTACAGTTCTAGGAACCTTAAAAATGGGATACTGCTCCAGAAAAGGCGGCTGCCGTTGGTATACCACCGATGCAGCCCTAATCAAGATCCCAGCAGTTAAACCCCATATCAAGAACTTCTTGTTCTCGGTTTCATAGTCAAAGAAGTGAATGAGATACTTGTTCCCCAACCACACAATCTCTTCCGCCCTTCGGTTTTCATCCTGGGAGAAAAATGTCATGCATGTTCCTTAAAAGATCCATTCCAAAAAAAGTATTTTCGACAGCTTCAATGCAAAGAGAAAGGGGATTACAAGAGAGAAACCTTGATAAACATCTCCAATGGAGCATCAAATACAGTTTCCACTTCGGCGGGATTTGGAGCAGGCTTGAAGGCTTCCTTCTCAGTAAGTATGCCAACGACTGGAACAACTCTGAGAAGGTGCTGCAAGGAAAACCAATGGCGTTTTTCATTCACACTAAGACATGATTATTACTCACTTTCAACTCACCGCTCGAACTCATGCTCGGATCTCACACGTCTGTCATAATTATCGAGGGAAGCACTGGACATGAATCATGTAAAGACACCTTTCTTAAAGTTAAGACACATGTTAATGTCTTCAAAGCCCACACTCAACAGAGCTGACGTCTCCAAGGAATAAGGCTAATATCTCTAGCCAAATATGATAAATACACTTAAGTGGGTAGTGCATATGCTAAGCTAGCCATACTTGCCATTGTTCTTATTAATTCCCCCTATTTGCATAGATATTATTACTATGTTTGAGGACCTACATGTTACTTTCTACCTTCACAATCAGCTTGAATTGAGTCATAAATTTTCACCAGTAAAATCTAACAATTTTACGCCTTTTCGGTTTCATTTTACCGTGAATACAGGACACAAGTTATCACTAGCAGATTACAGATCAAAACCAGCACAAGATCATGACTAACTAATCCCATGATTTTGTAACAATGGAATTTCCACTCTTTCTAAAGATTTGAACAGAAATTTAAATTTTGTGAGGGAAAACACTTTAGGAAAAAGGTTCGAACAGTAGTTCAAACTTATGAAACGAACAGGGGCTTAGCTTATCTTGGCAGAGGAGTATGTATGACGATAAGAATTCAGCTCTTTTCCATTATTTGGACAATAAAATCACTCCATTAGAAACCAATGAATGTAACAATTGATAAACACAAAGTAGAAAATTTAAATCTAATAAAATGTCGGAGAACTAAGTTCTTATAAATTCTTCTAGTCATCATCTAATTGCTTTATTTCTTCTACAAACTTTAACCATTAATATCACATGATCCAAAATTACACCATAAACTTGCAAAATTGATCAAAGCTAAAAGGCCACCATCCCTAGAACTCCCTAGAACCTCACTAAGCTTTCAAACAATCGAAAAAGCACTAAAAAGTCGAAGCTTTGACAAGCAAAGGAAAATTTAACTACACCATAAAAATGAAAACTCAAAAAATGAAACAAGAACAGAACCAATTTCAGACAAAAATAGCAAAGAAAACTCAAAAAAAAAAAAAAAAATAGTACCTTGGACAAAAATGGCTCAAGAACAGACACAACATTGACAAGCGAAGGATCCAAACCAATTTCCTCCTTCGCCTCTCTGGTAGCTGTGTCCCCATCATCCTTATCCCCTTCCTCTGCTTTCCCACCCGGCAACGCAACTTCACCTGCAATGCAAAAAAAATTCATTTTCCGCCTCAGTTTTCTCGGCAACCAAACAAACAGCCCTGGGAAAATCACCTCAAACCAAAACTCCAGTACGACGAATCCGACCGGAGTGAGAGGAGAGACTCGACGACCGCTTCGTGAGGATCACGCGCAGATCGCCGGCGTCGCCTTCGAAGAGGCAGATCAAGACGGCGGCTCTCTTCGGTCTGAACTTCTGCGGGTCGCGCGTGATCGGAGCCGCCGATTCGACGAAGCCGAGCTGGGAGACGACCTTGCCGGCGGCTTCATCGTTGGCGTCATCGTCGAGAGGTGTCGGCGGGGGCTTGTAGAGGCGGAGCTGATGGGCTAAGGCGGTGAGGCGCTGTGGGCCCCGCAACGAGGTTTGGGCCGAGTCCATTAGCAGTGGGATTGATGGTGATGCCCTTCTGAGAGCTGAAATCATTGGGTTCTTGGGGTGTGTACCTTGGTCTCTGTGCATTAGTTATTATAATTCAACTTAATTTAGTAATTGGGGTGGAATTTTAAGCTGAACCGGAGAATTTTGGGGCAAAAATTTTGAGAAAGACAAGGCGAATTAGAAAGATTTATGGTAGAGATTGGAGCTTTTAAGGAAAAAAATAATAAGACAAAATTTTGCACTGTTTAATCATGTTATGAGGCCTAGCTCAGTTGGTAAGAGCGGCCTCCTTGGAACAAAAGGTCCCGAGTGAAATCTAAAAATCCCCATCGACTAAGCAATAAAAAAAAGATTGGGAAAAAAATAATAATATAACAAAATTTGATGAATACATGACGATGTGTTTTGTGTTGCTAAAAGATTTGTTTTTTCATATTTTCTATTTAAAAAAAAAGAGAAAATTATAGATTCTATTGCTTTAAATACTTTATTTATTAAAAGTATATTTTTTTTGAAAGTATAATCCTTAATTAGTTCTAATATAAAAAGTATAAATATATGAATTAATGTTCAGGAGTAAAAATAATAAGGCTCAATTTCAAAGTTATTTTTAAAAATTTTCCTTTTAAAAAAGAATTAGGATACCTAAAGTGGCTGCGCAAGATAACATGGAAATAGAGGAGCTCCCTTGTAATCTAGATTCTGGACACCGGATATGTTTGCTTATTTGATATTTTCTTTCAAAAAAAAAAAAAACTTTTAGCTGGTCCCAAAAAAACAGAAGAAAATATATATATATATATATATTGTTCATTTTTTTAATACGTTCATTTTTTTCTTCTCCGTATGCACAATATGAGCAAAAAAATTTTAAAAATTAGGACCCCCATTTTTTTCTCCAAAATGGTTAACTCTCGATTTCAAAAAAAAAAAAAAAAATTTCGCTCATGATGTACATATAGAGACCAATTCGATACAAAAAGAGTAAAATTAACCTTACAAAACGTTCATGCAGAGGAAACCGTCTAATATTTTATATTCATTTTAATTTACCAACATTATTACATAAATTTTGGAGGTAAATTGTCAAGATTAAAATTGAAAAACCGATTTACAAAACCCATAAAATTAAGGACGTGTCCGTAAAATAAAAAAAAAACTTATTTTTTTGAAAATTTCTATTATGAAATTTTAAAAAATAAATAAATTATTAATATATTTTTATTTTTTAGCCATTAAATTTGAAACAGAGCTATTTATTATTTATTTTGTGTAGTAAAACTATTTTAATGTGATTTGCACTATTGGCATCATGGTATTGGGTCTTAAAGAAGAAGGATCCTTATTTTTATTTTTATTTTTCCTTTGTTTTGCTTTATTTGTTTACATATCTGACGTGTATTGGTCGAGTCGATGTTGAAACAGAAAAGATCGTTGATTCTAGATTGCAGATTGTTTGGAACTGGAGCGGACGAATTGGGATGATAATATTTCACTGGAGAAGTTATTTGGAACTATTTTTTTTTTCTTTTAATAATGAAAGGACAAGAAGCAAAAAAAGGGCGGATATTTCATCTTCATGAGGAAAAAAAAAAAAAAAAGGACACACACACAAAGAATATTCTTATTACAACTAATAAAAAAAAAAAATGCTTCAAGTAAAGATTGAATGGAGTATTATTACATGAGTATTCTCTCTTTTGCCATTTTAATAAGACCTGGCAGGATTATGGTATCCCAAAATATACACACACACACATATATATATTCAGACACACGAGCATCATGATCGTTATTCTACTAATATTATATACACTTTGTTTACACGAACGCGAGTTCAATATAACTTTAAGGTGAATTTTGTGCAGAAAGAATGTTCATTTAGACTACAAGCCAACAACATTTTCATTGGACTAAAAGCATTACGACATCTTTATCTGACTTGAAGCCCTTGAAGATTGGATTCTTCTCGAGAAAAGGCGGTGAGCAACGGTGAACGAGGGACGTATCTCTGATAAACTACTTCTCATTATTAGTTCAATGTTCATGGTAAAAAAATGAAGAAGCTACGTCGGTCTGTTCTAACCACACTTAGGCCCCGTTCATTTTATCGATTCGAGCTTAGAATTCAAGTTTTGCTATAGTAAAAAGCTTTCAGATCGAAACACTCACATTTAAAAAATTTTTTCTACAGTAAAAAAACTCACATAAAGTCACATCTCAACTCGAATCAGCGAACTAAATGGGCCCTTAATTCTTCTTCTGGCTTTGGTTTTCATCATGCAAGTACAACACCAAATAATGTTATGCATGATCTTTTTTTTTCCTATGATGTTTTGTGTGATCCTTCAAAATGCCATTTTACAACAAAATAATTTGACTTCTTTTTGAACTTAAGGGTTGGAGAATTTGAACTCATCACTTTATGATGGAATCGGATGTAGAATTACTACAAAACTATGCCTACAACCACAACAATTTGACAACTTTGGATGCACAAGAAAGGATAACCTTGATTTAAAAAAAAAAAGATATATTAGAAAAGGAGAATCAAATGTTGATTCAACTTAAGCAGGATTTGGAGTAGGCTTAAAGACTTTGGGTATGTTTGAAACTCGTTCCAAAATGATTTTATTTTTTGCTGAAAATGAAAACATTTTTAATCTCAGACAGAAATCATTTTTGAAAATGCATTTAGTAGTTTTATCAAGAGATTATTTTTAGTATAAAAAACTCATTAATGTATGTCTCTCTCTGCTCTCGAGAGGAGAAAAAGAAAACAAAAAATGAAAGACGACTAAAAGTCATTTTTCATTTCTCTCTCATTTAACACTAAACTAAAAAATTATTTTCATTTCCGTTTTTTATCTTTATTGCGCCAAATGCCGTTTTAAAAACGTTTTTATTTTTTCTTTTTCAAAAAAACGTAAAAAATAAAAACGAGAATAATTCTAAACACGACCTTTATTTTCCTTAAGCATGACAATTACTGGAACAAACTCTGAGAAAGTGATAAATCATGATTGAAGAGATTTCAATTTGATGTTTAAACTTTACGTACATGTAGTTTTCATGAAAGAGCTGTAGCTTCGTACGGCCTTGCCTGGATTTTTCCCAAACACAATTTACCAAGACAAATATTCCAAGCTCTATTACAATTAGTTGTTACATACTATAGGCTGTGAAAAGCTTAATCAGGAAAAGAAAAGGCATAAAGGACAACCACAGTTGGCTATCTATTATTGTTGTTGTTGGAAGTTGGCTATTTGGTTCTATGTTGACCGTTGCGCTTGTGGTTCAAATTAGCTAACACAAAGTATGACAGGGTATTGTTCTATATTTTTTTTTCTTTTTAAAAAACAATATCTTGTCTCCTAATCAAGGCCATCTATAACGGAAAACACTTCTTTAAATTCATCTATCTTTTTTTTTTCTTCTTTTTCTCTTTGCTTTGTTATTTGATTGAATTTGACATTTTTGTTTCTAACCACATTTTATAACCTTTGGTAGAGAGAAGAGCCGTGTAACTCTACATTTGTACATGATGTTAGTATATACATTATAATTCCAGAATTTGGAAGGAATAGAATGAGAAGAGGCATAACTATTTACTCAATGAGTCCATAAAGGGGTCAAGAAGGGGAAAAACATGAAAAGAAAAAAAAAAGTATTTCTTAAATCCCACCTTCATGAAATACTAAAAAAGGAAACATTTATTTGTAAAGGACCTTCTCCGATACGCTAATATACCGGTACGTTAAGTTTTTTATTCATCAAATTTACATAAAATTATGTAAAAATAAAAAAAAATATAAATCTAACAGTTACAAAAATTCTTACTTACCACTGCGTTAAATGTAACAAAAAAATCATTCTATTTGTAATCCGTACAATAATAATGCGTGAATATAGTTTAGCTTAGAGAAGTGGATATTGTGCATTCCAACAACCTCTAGTTCTAGCTTATCAAAAGGCGGGAACATTAGTGTGATCCAATCATTACCTAAAAAGAAGTTCAACAGATTCTTTTGAGTTAGTACTACAGCCAATGAACAATCAAATTATCAACTTTAAAAAATGAGCTAAGAAAAATTATTGGGGTGACTTTAAAGTGAAACAACTGTCCATTGTGTGGATGAATGTAGTCCATCCTTAAGGGATACTAATGGTTAGAAATATAGAGAGAGATCAATAATATATATATATATATATATATATATGACAGATTCATTTACTTACTATCAGCCGTTCAGATTACATTTGAGGGTCATGATTCACCTAAGAGCATGAATTTTTTACGAGTCTCATTTGAAGGCCCATATTCGGTTAAACTCCACTTATTGTTGGGAATAGACACTAATGGAGAGAAAAAGTTACTGTTTAACCACACCTCATGTCTATCTAAAACGAAGACCATGACCCCACAATCTACTCTTGTAATAAAAGAAAGAGCACTTACTCTTAAGTCATATTCGTTTTTGCAATTAGACGGACCAAAAGAAAAAAAAACAGATATAACAATTGATTAAATTCAAACTAAATGATATTAAAGTTGGTACTGCATAACCTGATACTTAAAAACAAATAAGAAAAATCCACTACTTTATGAGTTTTTTCTTCATTTTTTATGGATTTTTTTTTTTTTCATGTATTTAGTTACACGAAAAATGCTACTTATTACTAACAACGATGAGGAAGAGAACATATTGTAGGATAAAATTTTCAAGTTCCATCCAAATTCACAAACCACTCCTTAGACAAGCCAACAAGAAACAAATTCTGAAGTTAATACAATTATAAGCAATAAATGATGGAGCCGTTAAATTTGAACTCGGTAGAAGTAAACGGTATGAAGCGTTATATTAGTATGATTACTTTTTTGATTTTAGACTCGATGATGAGCATCTTGCCCAAATATACCATCCATTTTATTATTTAGTATTGTGATTAAAGAAACATTAAAAAAAAAAATCTCCTAGTGCTATTTTCAGAAAAACAAAGGAAAAAAGAAAAAAAATTTCATTCCACTAGTGCTATTTCTCAGGAAAAAAAATAAATCAAAATGCTTCCTTCTGTTTAGGGAATCATGCGTTTAATTTAAATTAATTTCTTCATATATCATACGTATTTCAAATGCACACGGTGCAAGTTATTTAATCTGCAAATTCAAAAAAAATTGTTCTACATGCCTCTTAAAAATTAACAAAAAGTTACATTGTAATTGAACAATTTAAGTACAAAAAGTTACATTAAAATGAACTACATCTATACACAATATAAATTAATACAGCTAGATCTAATATATGTAACATTACCAATCAGCCCCTCAAAACAAGATAAATTTACAACAATGCCCACTTGCTACAATTGGTTGCGAAGATTAAAAAAGTAGTAAAAATTTCTTTTAACAATCAATTACACCCATCATTTACTCATATTTAACAGCCCATCAAAGTATGGAATCAGCTTCCTATGTGTGTGTGCGCATATATATATATATATATGTATATGTATATATATATATATAAGTATCCGGTGGGCTCCCCCACATGCAATGTTGATGTTGTGTGTACCATCTTCCAAAGTGGGAACTGGGAAGGCAGTACTGAGTACTAACTACCTTCTCCTTTTCAAACCTCCATAGTCCCATGCCTGCCGGCTTTTAGGTACATGGCGTGAAGTGAGATCCAAATGCAACATCAAATAGTGGCATTTCCAGTCAGAAATGTACGCACGCCCTCTTTTCCACCAGATATTAGCTTCTTTCTACTATTGCTTTTCTAAAATTGCATTGTCCACGTTTCAGTCAAACAGTGTAATTGAAATATGCCAAGTAGAAAGTGGACTTGAGAAATATGTTGAGAACGTGCATTACTAATTCATGTTGGAAAACCACAACACAAATGTATTTTTAGATACTATCTTCAGCTGATTGGTGCAACGGTCAGGATTTGATAATCTAGAATTTGGTCTAGTTGGAGTGAACCATTCTGTGAGTAGAATTGAGTCGTGTTTTTTTTCCTTTCAATGATGTGCCCCTGAATTACAAAGCAAACGTCGAATGTGATGGCGCCAATGATCTTACTTTTATCAACAAACATATATATATATATATATATATATATATATTTGTAGATACCAAGTCAGAATTTTAAAATAAAAAAGGAGGGTCCTACCTGAAAAGCGATGAGGCTTTGGGTGATGAGATTTGAAGGGAGGGGAGCTGACATGATGAGCATGCGATAGGGCCCTCCTCCCAAGAAACTCCCAACATAATTGAAACAGTCCCTTTCTTATTGAGGAATCTTTTCAATCAAATATCACACACCACTAGTTGTAACTGGAAAACAGCTTTGTCATGCCAAACTACAAAGTATAGATATAGTACACATACACAGAAAAAAGTCACCAAGTATAGAGGAAGAGAGATGCATAAATAGAGCATTGAATCAGATAGTAAATCACAGTTAGCGCCACTTCACTTCTGCTGGGATACAAAAAGCAAATCTAACTGCAACTTCATTTTGCAGAAATGTGAAGGCCTAAACCTCATCAAAGGTAAATTCTTTTTTGATTTATCTATGTTTAATTAGACCTTGATTCAATCTCCCTTTTGGCAAGTTAATAGTTTTTCTGATTATTCAAGTGCATGTTAAGAAAGAGAGGCCATGGAGACTTCTGAAGATTGTGTGCGTATAGCAAAGTGAACTCACAGATAGATCAAAAACCATCTATGATGAGCTATTATTTACTAGATAGTGTTCCTCACCAAATTTTACAACAAAGAGAATTAAAGGATGATGAAAAAGAAGAGAAAGCTCGAGGTCAAGATCGAGATCAAGCAGAAGAGGAAGATGAGGAAGGAGAACAAGGCCAAGGACAGCAGATGATTTTTGGAAAGTACCAGCATGTTCAGTTACCACTTTGTGACAAAAGATATGATATAGATTATGAAAAATCTTGTAGGAAACTTTGTTACTCTAAGCAATTGGCTTTGGAGAAGCACCGGATCGTCAAGTTTGAGAGGGGAGAGAGGCGGAAACAGGCATCTGCGCGGCCATCTTCAAAACCGACGCAAGAGAATGAAGCAGGAGATGCTCTGCAAGTTCATGGAGGCCACGTTGTTCGGTTCATCAAGAAAAAGGAACGTCACAACAAGGTGTGCACTTCAAAAGGTCCAAGAGACCGGCGAGTCAGACTGTCAGCGCATACTGCTATACAATTCTATGATGTCCAAGATCGCCTCGGTTATGACCAACCAACTAAGGCTATTGATTGGTTGATTGAGAAGGCGAAAGCAGCCATTGAAGCACTCGCTGAATTGCCCGCTCAAAACAATGATTCATTTGATACTACTGACTGTGTGACACAACCACAGTCAATAATGAGAGACAAGAACTTGTATCCGCTTCAGTATCACCAAGGCTGTGATAATTGGCCACAGAAGATTTCGCTTGGATCGACTTCCAAGTGTGACAAGGAAGAGCAGTTGCATTTGAACAATGAAGGAATTTTCTCAATGGTAAGCCAATTCCAGGACTACCCAACTGAACAGAATTCAACACAAGGTCTCTGTCTTTCCCTTCAATCCTCTGAAGATCAGGATCTTTATCTCCACCATTCAAGTCCCATTGACTTTGATGAACAAGCCCTCAATTCCATGTCCAGTTTAACAGACTCGACTTCCATCGATACAGGCCGGTTTCAGAGTCTGATGGCCATCAATTCTTCCGCAGGCAATGAAGGAGCACAATTTTTCTTTAATTCCTTGCCTTCATTACTCCAACAGCCATTTCTTAGAGAGAACCAGTTTTAATCTTTAGTGGGGACCCCTTCAGTCCAGTAATTTGTTTTCACTTCACGCTTCCACTAATCCTCCAGCCTTTGATCATGGTCATGCCAAAACCGAATCACCAAATTCCGTTTTACTTCCCAGTAAAGGATTCTCGTAGAGGGGATTTGTTGAGATTTAGTTTCAGCATCCATACAGGGTGAAGAGCAGAAGCACAATGTAGTATGGGACAAAGAGTTTATTCATAAAGATATAATATGTTTGCCTATGTTTTTCTCATCTCATCTATTTTCAGAAATTGTCACTCTTCATCTCTACTTTGATATTTTATTGTTTATGCCTAGTCTTACCCTTACAAATGTTGCACTTGTGAAAATCACCTCTTTGTTCTTCCATGCATTCACTAATATCATAGAAAAGACCAAACTCTCTCTTATCATTGATATTAAAATACTCATATCTGCTGGAGAGCACTTTAGAACTTCTATTGTGGATTCCTTTAGTGGTAATAGTCCATGCTTGGTACTTGATAAGATAGCTGACTTTGAACAATTTCTGTCAAGTTCAGGTCACCTAAATATTTCTTATCAAAACCCAAAAATAAACAAATACATAAATACATAGAGAGAAAAAAAAAAAAAAAAAAAAAAAGAAATTTTGGGGGGTGCAGCCCATGTAGGGAAGAACGGGAAAAGAGGAGGCAGTGATTGTAA